CCTCGTAAACTGCAAATCCAATAGCGTGGTTGTCCAGACCCAAGTGTTTTTGTTCTCGTCGGTACTTCTGCATAACAGCAATTATTACAGTACATAAATCGTCATCGTCATTCGGATCGGCATCAGTTAACTGCACTCTGTACTGTGGGTTGTGAGCAAAGCTGTCTAAAAGATTAAAAGTAATTTTATAAAGAATAAGCATATAAGAAATCGTCATATAGAAAAGTTAACTCACTGATATAGTTACGACAGCCACCAGCAGAATAATTTGCAACCCACGATCCATCATGAGTGACAACGGACCAATTATTTTGGGAAGAACGCACCCCGGTCATTTCATAAACCTAATAAAAAAATCTACGTCATTTATTTACCCTAAAATCAACCTCTTGCTTCTTATAATTAAAATACACAAACCTCATCCATGACATCTGGACCAAGATTGCAAATTTCCATCTTCTCAAAGTTTCGGAGAAAGTCATCAAAAGACATCCTTAAAATAGTTAAGAAGAAACAACTCTGCAAGTCTCTGAAGCTTTTGCTGAAACTAATATAGTTGTTTACCGTCCACACCCTACATAAATGTTCATTTCCTTACCAGAACTCTCCATCATGAGCAAAAGTAAGTCCCATCTCTTGCTTTTCTCTGTCACTTATGCTGTGCCACTCTCTCGAATTATCTGACCACGGCCCATTCCATTCTTGCTGATTCCCCCACGGATTCCGTATACGTAGAAGGGGGAGTGAACCATAGTGAGTATTGACCTAATGAAAACTACTGCAAGAACTCAGAAATAAGACTGCCAGAAACTTCAAAAAGTGCAAAGCCAACTAAAAGCTGAAAAAATAGTAAAAAGTAACCATCCGCATGCTAGTTATGCTATAAGCGTGACCCCGGACCAAACCATTCGACAACCTCGCTTCTAAAACGTGAGGATCCGCCTAAAAATTCCATTATAACCATTAAAATCAGCCTACACATGTTTTGAATGTGATAACGGTCAACCTCAATACTACATCCGAATAGCGAACCCATTTCGAAAGCTCTCATCATCAACTCCATCAGGTGGTTTGGAGGTTGTTTTAAGTCAACGAATTCAGTAAGACCACCAGTAAAGTCCTCAAGAGCTTCTGACGTGGTGCCTCCTTTAAGAGCTTCGTAAGACCCGTGCAGCCTAGAAAAGTAGTCAATAATAGCTTACTTAAATAAACAGTAAAAAACATCTCTTCGTAACAGCTCATTATGCACTGTTCGAGGGGACGAAAATGTTACAACAATTAATTAAAAACGCTAGAGTTATTCAAAAGCAAAAAAATGATATACTTCGCGTAAGCTTTTTCGAGCAATGCACTCCAGAATTCGTTATTGTCTCGAGAATGCATATAAATCAACTCCCCATCAACAGTTGGCAAACGGTCATCGACGATCACGTCAATCCAATGTCCATAGTGCCAAAATTGAAAATGAAATATGCCTAAGAACCAAAGAAAATGGCTTTTCACCAAATTTTCTACTGACAAAGCAAAACAGCGTCAAAAACACGTCATTGATGTTAAAAAACTGTTACCCGCATAGTTATCAGTGAAGCTCTGATCAGGAGGAACAACTCTATAAAACAGTTCATCTCTCAGAGTCAAGTTTGCCGCAGCTGCCAACAACCAGCAATCTCCAAGTTCACCCTGTACTACATCAAAACGACTCTGACCTTCAGTTATTAGCTGAGGCTCATTTACGATTTCCTAAAACAGCTGTTTTAAACCATTATAAGAAATTCTTTATTTCAATTCAAAAGAAACTGATCATAAGTGCAATTTTAAGACTAGATTATAACTTATGCTCTCAATATAATACTCCAATCCGTGAATGAGCTAAACCCAAGATAATGAAACTTACACCAGGTCTCAGCCATACAACTCTCCTTCTTGGTCTTTCTCTATAGTACAAGCTTCTGTCAGTAGCCGGAAACTCAGGATCTTCAAAAAGGGATCTTTCCTAAATTGGATAAAAATGACTTCACAAACTTCCTTACACACTACTACTGACGGTAAAACAGTCACGTACTGCCTTCGAAATATAGCATAAGTTTCCTAAAAAAAAATAAAATTGTTTCTTATCAGTAGCGTACTCGAAGACATCGATCACGCTCCTCATAGAAGTCTATTGCTTCGGCCCTTTCCCCTGGTGTCGGAAGCCTTCCAGGCCGTGTCGGCTCTGGAGGGACATATGGGTTAACCTGTAAACGAATTATGCGGTAAATTCACAGAAAGTGATTTTTAAACGTCAACACTCACCTTTCTCTTAAACTTCCCGCTGATAATGTTATCAAGAATAACTTTGCCAACAGAGCCAAGAGAGTTGTCTTTGCCACCTGAAGAAAATAATGCTTAACAATTCCAAATTTGAAAAAAAGTCAGTTCTGTCAGAGAGACTTTAGTAACTAATTCAAAAACTTTCTTCAAAACGTCCTCTTACTACACTATACTTAGAAAACAAAGTGGTCGGCACTGATTAAACAAAAAGTAAAAAAAAAACAAACATACCCAAGTTAAATATAACATTGCCAGCAATAGCCCCAATAATTTTTCCGGTGGCTGGATCTATACCGAGGTAGCGATGCGCCAACTTACCGACAAGTCCACTGACAACATCTACAACCCCACCATTCAAATTGCTGGGATTAACATTAGGGCCTAAAAAAATACAAGAGTAATATGCTTGGAAACAGACGACGCTACAAAGAAATATCGCTTAAACAGAGAAAAATTACCTCCTCCACCAAAAGGATTCTTATTTTTTCCTCCGATTAAGCCACCAATTCCGCCAATAATGCTGGAAAGCTTATCACCTTTACCGCTTCTTCCTCCGCCACCAGAAAGATTCCCAATAATGCCGGTAATATCATTTATGTTCAAACCTCCTATTAATAAATTAAAATGAATTACTTTTATTCAAATTTGTTACTGTCAATAAGCATACACCACACCTCCTTACGAAAGGGAATAAAAAATGAAAGCACGACAAGAAATCAAAATCTCCTCGTCACCGCTATTTCAGAATCTTTCAAAACACTTAATAATCCCAAACCAGTTCCGAGAAATTCCAAACACCCACGTTTATCAGTAACGACTCCGTGTCTTAAAAGTCTTTGAGCTTGCCTATACACCAACTTTATAAATGCTCCCCTGGTTTTCAAAAGCTTAAGTAAATAATTAATAATTACTGCACCACCAGTAAATTTCCAGTAGGAGCTGCAGGAACGTAATGAAGAGAACGTGCTCAAGTGTAGTTATAATTTTACTCTTTATAACCATTAAAACTATTTTTAATGAACAAATGCCAACGTAAGTTTAAAAAAAAAACTAACAAATGAAAGCCAGAAAGTAAATTGCATCTCACGAACCCCACTTCTACCCAATTATGCTGCTACAAGTGAAGAACCAATTTTACTTAAGAAGGCGACTTTTCTGAGAACACAAATAGGTCTAAAAAACTCAGCATTATGTTAATCCACTCCTCCACTTTGCGGATGAACTTATTAGAGGTTAAATATTAGAATGGCAATAAGATTTTTAAAAAAAAAATAGCACGTCCTTTCAGTAAAAAACCTGGATCTTACGTCATTTGACAAGAACAGTTACCAAAAACAGACGAAGTATTTTTGATAGTTTGAGACCTTAAGAAAATCAATTACCTTTATTGCCTCCACTGCCCGAAATAAAACCACCAAGTATATTTCCAATATCATCCCCTGTAAATCAGTTTATTTACAAAATGAAGAATGAAAATAAAATGTTACCCTAAGATTCAACAGGAAAATCAAACTGAAAGATTCTGAAAAAAAGCTGCTTCTTTATAAAGCTAATGATTTCTCAGAAGAAACAAACTCATTAAAAATTAAAATTATAAGCAGTAGAATAGAAAAGTATTAAAATAATAATCAAAGATTTTAAAAAAAATTGAAGGGCAATGTGTCCCTAGAACGACAAGAATATTTCTCCTCGTTGAAATGGTCAAAGTACGGGGTAATAAATCTTAAAAATCTTATTTCGACAAACCAAAAGACAGTAATGTTTGATCAGCATACTCGTATCACGATGTAATACAGTTTTTTACAGGCACTAATACCTTCCAAAGTCAGCCGCTGAACTGGTTCTTCCACATCTCCACGACGATTAAAATTTTTGCAGCAAGAGAAGAGTGACATTAGGTACCGACGCTTTAAATTTGGCATAAAAAACTTCAACAGTAAATGTGCCTCATTCCTAGGATTTTGTAGAAAAAGAAACCCAAAGAATTGGCTTTTCGAATCCCTTTACAAAAATAAATTCAAAAGATCTTATAGAAAACGTAGAGGTGATGCAGCTACAGAAGACGAAACGTAATGAATTAATAACCAATATATTAACGCAAGAATTTATTTAAAAAAATAAAGAAATTAGTAGATCATTAAATAAAACTACCTACTGTAATAATAAATCAAAAATTTTAAGAAAATCATAAACGATAGCTTTGATTTTGAAACGTTTTTCGGTTATTAAAAACCTGGTTGTTTATGGTAATTACTACTCTCCAACAACTCCCACTTTTTTAAAAAAATTTCTTATACTTATATCAAATCAGTAAGCTTTCCAGCTAAAGCAAATTAATGAAAAAACACTGTTTATTATTCAAGACAACAGACTCCATGCGAACCCCATAATGCAAAAAGAATAAGCGAACTTAGAGACCAAAAAGTTTAGCTCAAAATAAGGCACCATTTCACTTTACAAAATACGGAGAAGAAAACGGCAAGTATACGAACAAATTTGAAAAAAAACGAAATGAAAAAGAGAAGATTCAGATTAAAATATGGAA